TTAGCCTTAGACCTTAGCCCTAGCCTTTAGCTTTAGCCTTAGACCTTAGCCCTAGCCTTTAGCTTTAGCCTTAGACCTTAGCCCTAGCCTTTAGCTTTAGCCTTAAGCCTTACCTCCCCTACCCCTCCGGACCCTTGTTGCAGTGACGAAATCCGCCAAGATTGCGACGTGGATTGTCCAAGATTTTGCCATCCCAATTGATTTACATCTTGGGTTTTTTTCGTAGAAGGGAGTTGTAGGATGTCAAAGGTTGTTTTGGGTTCCCAGGTTTGCCCAGAAAATTGCTAACCCATTTTCTTCCATTGTTGTACTCATGCCTTTCATGCGCTGGACAATGTCCGGCCAGTGCCCGTGGTATGTCCTAGATGTTGTAACGTCAAAGGCTTTGGTAAGATTTTCGCATGCTTGTCAGGCGCCCGTGTCCGCGCCATGTGGCGTGTTGGTCTTAGGACGGAGCAGCGCAAACGGAAGCTCGGGCAGGTGGTGGCCAGGTTCTCGCACCAGCGAGGGAAGAGACCGTAGCCATGTACACGAGGGCGGCACGCGCGCGTGGCGGAATGTCTGTGGTGCAGTAGGCCGGGGGGGGGGGGGACGGAAGAGTGTGGAAGTGGGTGGTTCCACGGTAGGAAGAAGGACGTTGTCCTGGATATGGGGAGGGTAGGGTTTCCTGGAGCACCCTTTGAGCAAAATGCAGGAACCGAGAACAGCCTCCGTCACCAAAGTCGTCGGGTGAGAGGCAGCCGGTGTCTTTGTTATGCGTTTCCTGGGGGAGAAGGGCGCTGCCCATGGTGTTAGCTAAGTCGTGTCAGCCAGCGAGGGCGTTTCGGTGTAGTTGTCGTAGGCGGAAGACGCCGGCGCGCAGTGTTTCGGCAGGCTGGCGGAAGCCGACGGCTGCTGGTGCTTGACGATGGAGTGAAGCTAGGGGATGCGAGCGCAGAGGATCGGGTTTAGCGTGGGCGGAGCGTGAGTTGGGAGTTACCGACAGCATTTTTGGCTGGAGAAGTGTGGTTGTGATGGTTGCTGATGGTCCAGGGGCAGCTCGCGGGAAGGGACTGGACCAACGGTCGAACCCTGGAGGACCAGTTGGTGCAAAAAAAACTGTGGGCTGAGGAATCTGTGGATCTGGTCTTGGAGAGCAGGCGGCAGCTGTTTGGGGTGGCTCCATGTGTGTCGTGGGCCACGACCCCGAGCAATGATGCTGCTGCGTGGCTGAGCATGGAGGGATTTGCTGTGGTGGCCTGTGGCGAGAGCTTCGTGCTCCCCGGTGGGCAGACCCCGAGGAGTGTGGACAGGATTGTTGCGGCGGCCCTAGAGCAACCCGGGAACGCGGCCGCAGAGACGGACAGGGCGCTGCCCATCAGTGTTGCGGTCGGCGCTGAAGACAGGGCCGCGCCCACGGTCCATGATCATCTCGCGGGAAGTGCCCGTCGTGGCTTCGGAAAAGAGGTGCTCTGGTCGACAGGCCGCCTGCCAATATGATCTTCTGCAAAGCTTCGTGGAGCATCGTGTCTCGCCACAAGGGCTCGGTGCTGCAGCCGGGGCGGAACAGGACGTCCTGCGGGGCAATCTATTTGTTCTCAGAGCTTGGTGGCAAGGCTGAGAGGAAGGGCCATGGGCAGCATGACGGGCATTGGTTTGTGGCACAGGCGCAGCAACAGAGGATCTGCGACACCGGAGCTGGAAGAATGGATTCGCGGGAGATCCGAAGCGGGTCGAGAGAGGGAAAGGATGTTTTGAAACCACTATAGGTTGCTCACATGCCACGGTAGCACCCGCTTCGCAGTCTGTGCGTTGTCGTGTGTTTCCCCTGGCGAAGCATCCCCGTCTATGTCCCCCTGTCCAGGCACCATCTATCCCCGAGGCGACCTCGCAGGCCAAGCCGCAAAGGCGGGCAACGCAGGACGCGTAGTGTGCTGCGTCCCGTGGCGGAGCAGAGCGCTGGTACATTCAAATGCCACAGTTGTGTTGAAAGCGCTGTCGGTTGCTGACGCATCGAAGCGGTAGGCGCCGCGCATCAAAGGCATGAGTACAGCAATGGAAGAAAATGGGTTAGCAATTTTCTGGGCAAACCTGGGAACCCAAAACAACCTTTGACCCACGAATCCAGCGGAAAACGTACCCACTTCTATGAAAAACCAATTCCACTCGTAGGCTCCTGCCCGCGACCATCCCGGGACCCAACCCTGCCACTACATTTTCCCTTGGGGTCGGCGGCCATCCACGACAAGCGCAGGTGGGATATGTACATCTCCCGGTTTGGGCACCATGTGGGTTAGCATTCTTGTAGGAAAATATGGGAACCCAAAAAGCACTACGGAAGGAGCGCTGTCCCGGCCAGGTCAGTTCCACCGGCGAGCTGGCAGCACGCCAGCTAGTGAAGAGCAGAAAAAGGTTGCAGACAGCAGATAGGAGATCTTTAGAGTCACGATATGTCCCTGTAACACCCAAGCAAGCAGTAATAACACTATCCAGCGGAAAACGTTTGCAAATGGGGGTAAATGGGTTAGCAATAGGTTAGCAATTTTGTGGGGAAATCTGGGAACCCAAAAACAACAGGAAATGCTAGAAAATCCTTTGAAAAGCATACAAATCCAGCCGAAAACGTGACAAAATCTAGACAAAGCCAAGAGCATTCCTAGGAAAATGCTGGAAAAGCCTTTGAACATCCCACAAATGCAACAGAAAACGTGACAAAATCTAGGAAAAATCAAGGATATTGGCGAGGATCACGCCGCGACCACCCCGAGATTTGAGCCCAGGACCATTTTAGACCGTGCTTATTTTACCGCGCGGGTGGAGAGGGTGCCCCAAGATGTAAATCAATTGAGGTGGCATAATTTTGGACAATCCACGTCACCATTTCGTGGTATTTTGGCAGACTTCGTCACTGCAACAAGGCTCCGGAGGGGTAGGGGAGGTAAGGCTAAGTCTAAGGCTAAGGCTAAGGATAAGGCTAAGGCTAAGGTCTAAGGCTAAGGCTAAGGCCAAGGCTATAAGGCTAAGGCTATCAATCAACAGTCACGCCTCACCCCACGGTGTGGGGTCGGCGGATTCACTGCCATGAGAGTGGCCAAACTTGGCGTTTTGAAGCAGAGAACACATCGACGACTTGCACGGCTAGGTCGGAGAGACCATCTGCTTCCGATCCGGAGGATGACAAAGCCGACAAGGATAAGGAGCAACGAACTGACAACGGGAACTACATCGAACTACATATTTAATTTTCAGCTGACTTGCTAAAACTTGTGGCTCAAACTGCAAGCCCAAATGGTGACGAGAGAATCACCCATGAAGGAACGCATACATAAGGGTTCACCAGTGAGTCTTTTCAACGGTTCTTTCTGTTTATGAAGAATCCAGGCTGAACTTTAGAAAGCCGAGCGGAAAAACATTGCAAACTCAACACTACACTACTCGACTGTAATTAAACGCAATCCATTTCCTGGACAAAGACCTCGCCATGTTTGGCCGCCTGGCTTCACTGCGTGGCCGAATTCTGGGACTTGCCACACCACACTTTTCACAGGTGTGGAAGGCGGTTCCGGGGTGCTCGCGAAAGGATCCAAAAGCCGAAAGGCAAAAACGAAAAACAATGAAAAACAGCAACTCTTTAAGACACGTGGGGAACTTTCTTTCATGGAAGCTCCTTGCAGGTGCCTGGCACTCCGTTGATGCGGTGCACTGCGGCCTGCCATCCTAGCCCGATTTGGCCATCTCCCTTGCTCCAGGCCAGCATGTTTGGTTTAAGTTTGTGTGGTAGTAAGTTTGAACGCTGTTGTTCTGGCTTTATGGTGCGCCGATTGAGCAAGTTGCGTGTGATGGTGTAGAACCTGTCCAGGCGCGGAGCTTGATGTTTTCAGCACAGGAGATCTCGGAGGACAACAAGAAAAGACATGAACGAAAATACGGTAGGGGGCCCTTCAATAGGGTCCTTACCTTATTTTCTTTCATTTCTTTTTCCTTGTTGTCCCCCTATTGGATAATCAGAACTTTCACATTGTTCTTATGGGCATTGACGCTTCTGAAGCATGTATCGTTCCTTTCCCTAATTTCGGGGAATGAACGTACTGTAACCCCTTGAACATTTGCTGTAGCCGACTTTCCTTTAGAGCAGGAGATCAGACCACCGCCAATGCCCATGCTGCCACAGCAGAGGAGCATATCCAACAAAATTCGGATAAAATGGAAGATGAACAAGCACATCTATTTGAAGAACGTGGCATCCTCAATCAAATAGTTGTTGAGGTGAGGATTCATGAAACATCGCACTGGCCATTCTTCAGGTCAAGAGGGTTCGCTACATTTCAGCAATCCCTCAGTTCACAGGCGTGGTGGGCCTGGCTTTGTTCCTGCTTGATGGTGTGACTCCGACTCCCAATGCAGGCCCTCTGGGGCGCCAGACCAAAAAGAGACCGATCATTAAGGACTTTCGTACCTCGTCGGAGCCCGAGCGCTTATTGAGCCCCTAGTAGCTTCTTTGCTCCTAGTAGCGATGCCAGGAGCTCCTAGTAGCGATGCCCTTGCTCCTAGCTTTTATTCCGTCCTATGCCTCACTGCTCAGCCCTTGTACCTTTCATGCCTCTAATCTTCCAGGCCAAGGCTGCGTGTCTTCTTGCGAGAGCGCTGATCACGCGGAGCATGCTGAGCCAGCCGCAGAGTTCGCTTCGTTTCGACACGAAAAAAAGCGCCGAGAGTTTCTCAATAGGAATGGACACTTACTGAGTCGTTGCTGTAGACGGGATTCTGACTTTCTTCGCTTCACTTTCTTTTATGGACATCCACTTGGCAAAGGAGCTCATGAAGACTTTAGCTGACAAACGCCGCGCTGAAAAGAAGGAAGAAGAGGAGGCGAGACCAGTGGGTGGCTGGTTGACATGGCCGGGGAGCAGTTTTAGAATCATGCACCTACCGAAGGGCCAAATTTAGAAGGCAAAGCGTGGCGTACGAAGTCAACCTCTTTTATCTACATTACAAGAGAACTTTAAATGCACTCTCGGGACCGTAAATGCAGGAGTGGTTGTTTCCTTGAAGCTCTAACACGCAGCATGAAACGACCTGTTTTCTTGAGGAGCGAGCTCGGCAACAGTTCGAACGTGCCCAGGAGAGTTAGCTGTTTGTGACTGAATTCCTGACTTGTATGCTACATCGAAAGTTCGACATGCGCGTGTTTGCCCACGTTCCATTTTGCTTCTGGACATGATGGCTTACAGATAACTTCTAAACATGGACAGGTAGGATCTGACATAATGACTTTGATGTACAGTGCGTCAATTGCATGACTAGTTCAGCCGAAGTATTGTCAGTGTTTTGTGACATCCTTGCTGGAGAAACTGAGAAGCTTGTATCATGTGAGTACATTCCCGTACAGTGCACGGCCACTACAGTTTTAAAGTCTCAAGTGGTGTTATTGTCTTTGGACAGAGTTTTCTTATCCGACATGCCACACATAATTTGCAGCTTTTGCAAAACAGGGCCTCAACTCTTGCCAGAGTGCTACGAGCGACCTCTCGTGCCTTTGCAGCTTCTTGAAAGCCCTGATTGGTAGCCATGGCACGCCTCTTCCAAAAGCTGCGCAGGTGGCTTTCCTTGAACTTATTTGAGGAGTGAGGGTCGGGTGTGGTTGTTTCTTTGCGTGTTGTTTTTGAACGCAAACGTCTTGAAACTTAACGAAAGGCGCCTCGGAGCGGCGATCACTCTCTTCGCTGCAGGAGCCTCAGCATTTGCTAAGTGGTTTCCAACTTTTTCTTTCAAAAGAGGTTCTTGCTGCAGGTTCTTGGCAAAGCATGGCTTGGAGCTGTCCGAGCCCATACAGTGCCATACAGTGCCATACAGTTTACGGTGCAATGCTGCAGGCCTTGAGACCAACTGGAGGCAGAAGATTCAAGTGAGTGAGGTCAACTTGCATCTCACTCAGTTCTGAGTGAAGTCAAGAGCACAACTGCCAGGCAGAGCTGCAGCAATAACCTTGGAGGCTGCATCATAATAGATCCAACTAAAACATGCACTTGCTGCCAGACAGAACTTTAAGTCGAACCTTTTGATTTGCTAGGCATCGAGCCAAGATCTCTTGGAAGAAAAGGCGCGGACTGAGGCGGGTGGCTCTTTTGTTAGTTTTCGATCTCCCAAGACTCTACTCACCAATTATTCGAGAAGAAGGCATGAATAACCGAAGGTAAGGATCCCTTAAACAAGAGCCCCTTTAATGAGGCCCTTACCATTCTTGCTTGATCTCTAGCCTGCCTGTCTTATCATTTGTTTGCTTCTCACCTTCTCTTTCTCTCGTGCCGTTTCATCAACTGTGTCTTGCCACCGTGTAGGCGATTGTTCTTGGCGAGCAGTCACCTGTGTAGGCAGCTTAAAGCCCTTTGTAGAACAGAGGCAGACGGCGGAGTTTGCAGTTTGCACGTGTTGTGAAGTGTCGATCGTACAGGATCGGCCCGATTGAGGAAACTTCCGGACGACGCAGCAAGATGCTCAGATTGCAGCAGCACAGTTGTACAGCGTCATCAATGTAACTTGCGGGTGCTGAGGCCCTGGCCATGCGAGCAAGGGCGCGGCGGCGCGGTGACTGGGTCGGGGGGCCAAGCTTTGAGTATTTCCTCAAGCTTTCCTTTTTCAAGTTTGTTATTCTATGACATTCTGATATTGCTGAAGCAACACTGCGGAAGAACACCCAAGCCTCCATCGTGCTGGATGAAGCTCAGCCAAGGCGCGCAAGAGATTAGGTGGAGATCAAGCAAGCACAGAGGAGGTGCCCAAATCAAGGGGGGTGACTCATTGGAGTTTGTGAGTGAGATCTAGAGTCTAGTGAGATCTCATGTCGCAGTGCAGGATATTCCATCGACCGATGTGTGGGGTGAAGATCAGCGTGTTCTGGACCCTGCCCTCACATGAAGGCGACACTTGTGATGTTTTTTTTGCCCTGATGAGGACATCCAAACAGAAAGAAATCGCATCCGCCAAAGAGTGGAGGCTCACTGAGTGGGATTTGGTCTTGCAAAAGTATTGTACATGTTGACCAGGCGAAGAGAGCCATGGAAAGGGAGAAGGCGCAACAACCTTGTGGCAGCTCAATGCGAAAGATCTGTGATTGACCAGGCTTCAAGGAGTTCCCACAAATAGTAAATTGAAATACAGAAGAATCAGAGTATCTTATGAATTTGAAGCTTGAGTTGAACTTTCAAAGGCAGAGCTGAAGGCTGCCAGCACGGAAGAGCGTGCTGCCCGAAAGAAAGAGGCCAAGCGCTTGGCCACAGAGTGTGGTGCTGAGAAACGGGTCTCCACTTTCGCATCTGTGTCAAATCCAATTTCGATCTCTATAAATACTGCTTTGGTCAGCAGGGTTCACAGCTCCCCTCATCTTGATGCACAGCATGGAGGTCGTGTGGCTTCCCGAACACAAAGAACCTGCAAGAGAAACCGCTGAGGCGTGCACGCACTGCCAAGGAAAGGCAACGCGCTGAGCGCGTGGCCCAGATTCGTGGGGTCCGGGGCCTTAGAGGCGTTTGTGCCATGACAATGATGGCCATTGTGGATGGCGCATGCCTTTCTTTTCTCCTTATATATCAGGTCCAGCTCCCAACTCTTGAAGAGGTGGGACTGATGAATAGAGCTGTGATGTAGAGTTCATAGTTTGTGTTTGAGTCAGCTACAATATGTACCAGTGCTTGACGTGACCGCGGTGATGACCCTTTTCAACTTCTTTTCCATATTTTGGACCTAGTGGTGTTGCTTGAGGCGCAGTCCATGAGTCTTGTACAACTTCGAGATGTACTGTGGAACGTAGGAAACTAAGAAGGTTGTTGAAGACTCGGGCGTTTGCATGAGCCCCAGCAGCCCTCAGCACTAAGGCTGGTTACCCTGCTAGGGGCTTGCCTTCACCAGCAGAAGCCAGGCTTCGGCCATTTTTCCGAAAGCTTGCTGAAGCGAGGTCTTTGTTGAAATGACTCCCAGGCTCTGAGAGCCTGGTAGACTGACCAGTTTTTGTCGTCAGGCAGATGGACCCAGAGGAATTGAAGTCCAAACTGAAGGAAGCGAAGGCGAGAAAAGGACTAAAGGACTTGAGCAGGAAAAGTTGGATCAGGAAGAAAGCACATGTCAGCAACACTTTTGTATACAACGGTCAGTCTTTTTACATGGTGCTTCTCCCCGCTTTGAGGTTCGCTTTTTGACCCAGCTTCGCTACGTCCTTCAAAAGGCTGGACATGCCTTTCTGATAGGCAGAGCCTAGGTCACACAGGAAGTGCAGAATGAGTTAGGCTGATCCTGGAAGGGTATTCTGGGGGAAGAAAGCTTTATCGGAAGTCTATGAGTTGACTTCGGTCTGGGTGCCTGCATGTTCGACGGTGGTGGTGTTATGTTCAAAAAGACAAGGTGAGCGAGGAAAGAGTCGCTTTGTTGGTCTGTCGATCAGTCTATTGACAAAGTGATTGGAGGGAGGGAAAGCACTGTCAATTCATTTTGATTGAATCTTCGAGACAAAACAGCTGTCCAGGCTGATGAACTGGCAGGTGGAAGCAGAGACTGACCGGGGCGAGCAGATGTGAAAAGCGCTTGGATGTGGTATTCCTCAGGCTTTATTCTTTGTCTCACTGTCTCAAAAAAGGCCAGGAAATGAGGCACACCCAGAGTTCTTGTCAAGAGACCTTTGATTCAGAATTGACTTGCACCAGGAGAAATTGCGGCTTCTAGAAAAGCGCGCTCGGGAGCGTGAGAGGATGGAGGACCAAACTTCAGGTTTGAGGAAGTGTTGGGCCTTTTCGAAAACAACAGATTCTATTTTATGCAGGAAGAGGAGCGGCAAGAGCAACTCCGAGCCAGTTCCCGAACAGTCCAGTAGTCGGTAGGGAGTTTACCTTCTGTTTGAAGCAGGAACGTTTTGTATACTTGATTTTGACCTGAGGCCTTGCGAGGGGAGACACGTCCACCTAGAGATCAGCCAGAAGAAGTGCAGATCGAGGCGCCAAGGGCGAAGAAACCTGGATAGATGAAGGATGCCCACAGTTTCAAAGGCAGCTTTTTCATATTCTACATATTCTACATATTAGGTTCCTTTTGCTATTATTAGGTTGGAGGCCATCGCTATTGGGTTGGAGGCCATCGCAATTATATAGCTTCATTCTACACTTCTACATATTCTACCTTTCAGCCTTTCAGCCCACTTCACCTATGGAGCATCGACCTTGCGATTTGGAGGCGGAAGCTTTGCCTGTTTATGAGGCCAAATGCAAGCAAGACGTTGGATTCATCAAGAAATGGCTCACGCTTGTTCAGCTCATGTCGTTCTTCCTTCGTTCTTTCTCTTCGGCCCTTTGCATCTAGGCTGCGCCGCGTGTGGAGGCTTGCCTGCTTGCTTGTCAGTGTTTTATTTGTCTTTTTACTTTAAGGGTGAGCGGGCCTTGCCGTCTTTTTAAACACATTGTTTTCTTCTTTCGTTTACTGCTTGCACTGTTTGCACCAATCCTGCCACCCGATGTGTCCAACTTGCCAGGAAGTCGAAGCTCCTGCTCCACGCGTGCGGGAGGCTTCATGTGCTGACAATGCTCGTGCGTCCTTTTTTGTTCTTTTCTTTGTGGCCCAGCTTCGAAGTCTTCGGACAGCCAAGTCACCTGGCGAGGCCCCGCGCATGGAGATCCATGTTCCAATGCCGGAGGCAGGGAAGACCTCGCAAATGTTGCAGATGAAGAGGTCCCAGAGGCCATGGTGGATTACTGGTGAAACCAATTTTAGGTTTCCGACTCTATTCATGGTTGGGGGTCACATGGTAAGTACATCTTTTTTTTCCACCGGCTTCGCGCAAGACAACCCTTGAAAAACAAAAATCCTTAAGTATCCACACAGGTAAGCCAAGCCTCACAGATCACACATGTTGAACTTTGCACCAAGAGGCAGGAAGGCCTCGGCTCAAAACTGTGAGGCACCAGCTCCACAGGTGGAGGTCAATGTGCCAATGCCTGAGGCAGGAGAAAGGGCGCCGACGCGCTGATAGCGTGTTTCTGGAAGGATTGAGGATTGGCACATAAATGTAGGTGGGGGGACGGCATACTCCGAAGGGCTCATTCTAGTTCTTTGGACTGGCTCTCAAATCTTGCACAACTTCATCAGTTGTGCCATTCTGCAGGTTCAGCAGCCTTGCGAGGCAGGACCTGGCAGAGCTCTCAGACCGAAGGCGTGAAGTTGACTGTTTGCTCAGATGCCTGCAGCTGCTCGGAGGTGGGCTTTCTGCCCTGTGACCGGATAAGCTGAATGTTGTGCAAATGTGTTGGTGTTCGAAGATCCAAGTTTGTGCCAGGTTGCCACCACCTCCCATGCCAGAGACTCAAATTAAGATCAGATAGTCACTCCATGAAGAGCTCATTCGTTCCTAATCGGAAAACTTGTGTCTCCATTGTGCAAGCAAAGTGGATACAAAACTAACAAAGTCTAAACTATGCCTTAATTATGTCATAAGGCAGCAACCCCCTCCACCCTCAGTCGGGGGTCTCAGCGCCGCAGCATTCTGCAGAGTTCCTTGCTCATTGCACATTCGTGTGTGGATGTACACTCTTGGACTGTTTTTTTCGGATCAAAGACGTACACTCAGCCGCTGGGCTGAAGCTTTGCCATGGCACGTTCCAAAGTCCGGATCGCGTGGACCATCAAAGCATTGATTGTTGCTGTGGCAGGTTTTTCCACATTTGTCGTTCCCTCTGGACAGACCCGCCCGCGTCACGCTCAAAGCCGTATTCGAGTTTTCGCAGAACCTGAAAGGTCAGCTGCCTGGGATGAGAGTGTGACAGTGGTCGTGGAAGGAATCGAAGATAGCACGTCGGATGAGGCGTTTGAATGGCTTCAAGCAGGTTTTGCCTGGACTCAGAAGTCTCGACGTTTTTGGCGTAAGCAACGCTCAGAAGAAGAGCCTTCTCCTGAGGCAGTGCAAAGCACTGTAGCATGGCTTAAAGAGAAAGGACTTGCACGGAAAGCCTGGGTGAAGCGGTTCCCAGAAGTGCTAGGCCTCGCAGTGGAGGAGCTTGAAGACGGAAGAAAGACTGCACCTAGCTACCTGAAAAGTGAGGAGTCGTACAACAAGGCCATTAAATCAAATCCACAACTGCTTGGCAAGAACTACGACTGCTTGCAAGATCACGAAAGTTGCCAAGGGCGCTGCTCACGGTGCTGGAACACCTAGCTAGACTCAAAAAAAATCAAAAAACTGCGCTTTTGATAGCAGGACTTGCTTCTGTCAGAACCTGGACACAATAGGTTACCACATGTGGACTGAAGCCCGCTAAGCTGTCCATCATTGAGGTTCAGGTGCGTCATGCTCCGAGAGTGTCGGCCCCTGCTTCCAGCTCGGCCTCGGACCAAGCTGCATTAACATGTCGAGGGCAATCCTTGTTCAATTCTTCGTGATTTTATATGATTTTATGCTGGCGTGGTGGACTTGCAAGGTCTGGGGAGACACTTTCCCTGCGCCTGCGGTGACTAGCCAGGGACCTTGCTAGGCACTTTGTCGCCTCAACGAGGTCCCTATTGAGGAAGGTTGAGCATTCTCTGGAAGTCAATGGAGACATGTTAGATCGTGTCTCATTTGCTTCGTTTCAGCCGAAGAGTAAGAAGGAGGTCAGGCACCTGCTTTGTGCTGAGGTCCTTCAATCAGCGGACACTTTCCGGATCTTGGTGGTGTGCCTGCGCAGTCCAAAAAGGACCAATATGACATGTACTTTCAGACCGCAACATTTTCTAACAGCAAGTGCCCTTTCCTCCCAGGACAAGCAGAAAGCCGCATATGCGAACTTGGCCGAACCCAAAGCTGCGCAAAGTTGGGGTTGGGACCTTGAGTTTGCGGGTTCTCCGACCAAGCGGATCTGACCCCTTTGACTTTTCCTACAGACAATATGGATAGCTTTGCTGGACCCTTCCTGGCTAGTCTTTGGCATGCACCAAGAAGTGCCTCTACACTTTGTTCCCGCACCTCGCATGGATCCGTTTTGGCTTGCATCGTGGAATTTGATATATAAATCAAATCAGCCCAACTCCTACAGCACCATTACCATCACCCGAACTCCTTTTGCACCTGCTCAACCATCCATTTCCTACATTCAACAAACTCATATCATTAGATTCTCAACGCAGGCGTGCTTGTCTCATACCGGGTGGGGAGATTTGAAGCCCAAATGCACCTGCGACATGTTTAGGTTCGGGTGTATACCATCGTCCCCAATCGCCCCAGGCCAAGCTCACCGAGCACCACCGACCTTCACTTTGCAGGACGGTAAGCCTAAGAATCTTCAAAGGCAAACGACAGTGAGCAACCTAGTTTACTGTGATAGTTTTACTGTACTCGCTTCATATGTTTGCTTGGTGGATATGGAGCCATGCGGTCTTTCGTCTTTCGTTTCCTCCTCACTGCATCCAGCCTCCAGCTCCGACGGAGGAGCTAGCGAAGCCTGCGAAGAAAGGACGAAGTGCCAAGGTCTTCTCTGGAAAGGCGTGGGGGGCAGCGAGTGTGACAGCAAGAACCAGTCCGCGAGTGTGAATCAACACCTTGCCAATAACTTTTTCACGTGCGGACTGATGTGGCTAGATGAATTACTGGCTTAAGTTACCCACTTTCCAGAAAGTACAACCAATGCCAAGACTGCAAGTGGCAAGCATCCAATGAGTATGTACAGTGTTCCGAGGCCGAGTTGCCGCAGGAAAGGGATGAGCATCCGGATCATCTCGAGCCGGAACAGCAAGGGCTGTCTGCCAGTTCAGAAATGCCCCAAGGCCAGCCATGTTTAGCGCGAGAAGGAAAGCAGGTTGTCGATGGAGTTCTATTGTTCTCTGAAAGAGAATGAAGTCCCAACTGAAGAGCAAGGACGCTGGCCTTACTACTAGTAGCAAATAGCTACTAGGAGCAAAGGGCATCGCTACTATTGAAGACTTGGCAACGAAGTGGAGAGGCCTTGTGATTCTCGAAGTGCCTGAGGTGTTTTCCATCGTCCCATGGAGCATGATGCTCCGCATGCTCCGCTTGAGCGCCCGATGGAGCGTCCAATGGATCGCCGGCAAGAAGGCAAGTCACGTAGCTCGTGGAGTGCGCCCCGTTTCCATGGTTAAATGAAAAGTTGCTAGGTCTCTGGGAGGAGCATTCCAGACCTGTGCGACAAGGCAAGTGTTTTAATTCTGTTGAATTCTTGTTTCGAATAGCAAACATTGCTCCTAGTAGTACGGTCAGAAGCCCCTAGTAGCTTCTTGTTACTAGCGATGCCAGGAGCCCCTAGTAGCGTCCTTGCTCCTACCCCTTTGATAGAGCAAGATGCGCTCGGGCACATCTGGGCATGCTCCATATGCTCCATATCATTTGTCCCTTGACGTCAGGTCAGAGAGAATGGGACCGCCCAAGAGGAAAGCGTGAAGGTGGGCTTCGTGTGAATTTGGGTTGGATGCCACGTTGTTTTGAAGATTCTGGAGTCTTCAATCAAGAAAAGAACAACAGTAAAGATGTACATCAAGCAGAGATGCATCTGCCAGAATCTCTACCACTGTCCTAAAACTCTCACACCATCTCACACCCATTATTAGAGGCTACCTCAATAGCCAGTGACTACACCGACAGACTGTTTTCTTCCTCGACCTCTCTGACGCCTGATGGAGGCCAACCATTTGAGATGGATCGGCCAAGGCAGCGGCGTGGCGAAGGACTGGATTAGTCGTCCTTTAAGCGGGTTTAAGCAAACCAGAACCATGCAAAACTTTCCAAAACTTTCTTTTCATGCAAAACCCGCACCGAAAAGGAAGTTCCCTGAGCCCGCACCGACATGCCAATCTTCTGAGGACGCGACGTGCGGCCTGAGCGGCGAGAGCGTGTACCACGGACAGAGCCGGGTGGCCCCAGAGACTTTGGAGACCTGTCAAACGAGTTGGTGCAAACAGTGGGTCCCTCCCCAATAAACTGGTTTGCAACTTTTGCTTTTTGGCGACACCCATTCAGGAATGTGCTGAACTAGGCGTTGTTTGTTGTTTCAGAGTGTTGGGCTGGCGCGGGCCTTTGCTGAATCTAGTCAAATGATCAAATGATCCTCCGTGTTCAACAGTATCAGTATATATTTTCCAGCAGTTTTTGACCGTTGGGACTATAGACTGATTAGACTGCATCACAAAGAACCTGCTACGTACTCCCATGGCAAGCGGATAGTGAACACGTGCTCCTCAGGATCCGCTTGGAGAAGCGCGACGATGGAAGCCGGCGAGATCGAGATGAAAAGGATGCTGCGGCAGAGGTGGGGTCTGGACTGGCCAAAACGGGAAAGCTTGACTGGTTGAATCGTTCAAAGTTGCAATTCTTTGTGATGGACGGTTCACAAGATTTCAATAGCATTTGGCGCTGGTGATGTGGACTTTGAAGCAACACCAATATGCAGCACCTTTCCACTTGTACGAGTGAGCTTTTGTTCATTTGCACCAGGCATCACCTACCCACGATCAGGTTGGGCTATTCGTGTTTGACATGTCAAGATCATGTCAGCCAGCATGGCCCACTTCTTCCAAGGAGGAGGACGAGGTCAAGGCGACCTTCAAGATCGATCCACAGGCGATTTGCCGAGTCTATGTTGGCTATTGGGATCGCATCAAAGAGTTCAGTGACACACTCTTTTTTCATGTCTCTCTCTCTCTCTATACAGTATATAATCAGTATATATATATATTATATACGGTTACTGGTATGTGTGTATGCATATAGATAAAGGAGTTGACCCCCCCCCGCAACCCCCTCTAGTCCATATCGGTGATATCTGATATCAGTTCTCTTTGCTTTCCGCTCTGCAGAAACCTGTCCGCATCCTTCAGAAGTCGCCTGAAGAGAAGGCCAAGGAAAAGGCCAGTCTTGACTTGCAGTGGCCAAATCCAACCAAAGCAAGACTTGTTACTTCTTTGAACTTCTTGTTTCTGCAGGCGCAAGAGCAAGCGACACGAAGAGATGCAGAACATATCGAGGTCCTAGCCACTATCACTAGAGTTAGCGCCAGTTTGTTCCACTCCAACGCAATCCTTTGCAGTAGCATGAGTCAGACTCACAAAGAGGTTTTACAGCTGCAAGATTGGCGCTGCGAAACCATTCCATCTCTTCAATTCTGTGAGGAGAGCACTTCAATCCCATGCACAGCACAATCAAACCGTACGACAGACCTTGAAGGTGACACACACACACACACACACGCCATTCATGAATGAAGCAACTCAAAACTGGCCGAGTGACTTGGCTGACCATTTCTAGGTCTCTGTGGGCAAGGGCAAATCGGCAAAGGGTGGCAAGTCCATGCCTTAGCATCTTGGGGGCAGTGCATTCGAAGTTTTGAGAGAAGTGATGAGTAGACGTCTTTTTCTTTATTTTATGCTCTGATTGTATGGCATATTATATTGTGTGCGCTTTGTAACCACTTCTTCCCAGGACCCAAAAGGGAAAAGCAAAGGGCCGTGGACGTGGGCCGCGGGTGCTTGGCGAGGTGGGCAGTTGGAGATGTGAACAATTGGGAATAGCGAGAAAACACAGCGGTAGGCAGGCCTGGCATGAAATCTCCTCTTGAAAATCTCGGATGCATTTAGTCCTGTTCTGGCTAGTCGGCTAGTACGGGGGGGTGAACAGCGTTCTCATCAGGCAGGGATGTTGGTTATGTTTGGCAAGGAAGATCAAATCAATTCCCTCACTCCATTCAGCTAGGGATGGCTTGTGGCAGGATTCAGATGTGGAATGGTCAGAAGCTTCTGATTCCGAGGAGGAGTGGGCACTTGCATGTGAACATTCTGATTTTGCTATTTCCAGTCAAGAAACAGGAGAAGCAGAAAGAAGGTGCGGAGTCAGCTTTTTCAAGGCTAATTTGCAAGTTGATGGTTGCATGACTTGTTTTCGAGTTGTTTTTTGGGTGCTTCTGTGGCTTAGGCTTGGGTGAGCTTGTTTTGTATGTTCCTGTTTGCCAACAGCTTGCCTTTGCTTTCAAGTTCCAAGGAATAGCTTGTTGCGACTACTCCCATCCAAGCAACGCCTCAGTCAGGTAGGCAGACTTAGTCCGAATGCAGTGAGGTCCATCGGCGGAGGTCGTCCTCGTCTCCTCAGAGGACGGACTTTCACAGTTTGCAGAGCTTTGCCAGACGGAGATGAATACAGAGTCCTGGTACTCCTTGTGACATGGGTTGCTAAGCAAGGATGCTACTAGGGAGGAACAAGAAGCTACTAGAGGCTCCTGGCATCGCTACTAGGAGCAAGGACACTACTAGGGGCTCCTGGCCTTACATGGGTTGCTAGGAAGAGTCCGAAGAAGCGGTCTCCTATCCAAAGGCTGCTTGGATGACTTGTGAGGTTACCACTATGAGCGCGGGGGGTGAAGCTCAAGACTGAGCAGTTGTCTTTCCGAACAGTCTTTGCTGCAGGGCAAGGCGAAGGGTAAGGGCAAGAACAAAGGCAAAGACAAAAAGGGCTCCGGCAAGAAAGGCGGGCGCTTTGCAGATCACATATTGCAAGCTAGGGCCGCTCGGGTAAAACGTGGGCCTTCTTTCAGGATGGGTCCGTGTGGAGCGGGAGGAAAAGAAACAAGAGGTGGACGAGGAGGCAGTGGAAGATCGAAGTTTCTAGCCTTACATCCTGATGTTATTTTAGCCTGGATAATATGCCGGATCTTTGAGACAAACCGCCTTTGAGGACCAGGGGGTTGACGAGAGGAAGGAGATTGAGGCTTGGTTGTCATGGCAGTCTCCCTAATAGCGATGGCCCGATGGCCTCCAACCTAAGCTATTAGGTTTGAGTTGCTTTGGAGAAGGCCTTCTGCTATGTACCAGGCACGCTTGAAGGACTCCCGCAAAGTCATGGAGCCAACGCCTCAGCCAAGATCAACGCGTGAAAAGCAGTTGCTGGGCAAAGCCAAATTTCCTTTGCTCGTTCACGGAATGCTCGTCTGAGCCTAGAAAGAAGCCCATAGGTGTATTGCCACTTAACCACCAAAAACAAGAGGTTTGCCTTTAATTTGAGGAGACCACACAGCCATTGAGAACAGCACGCCTTGCAAGGGCACTTCCCGCCAGCTGTGCAACTCAACCTGTAGTTGCCGGGTTTGTTTAATGAACAAGGGTGCAGAAACACACAAACTTGAGGAACGAAACAAAGCTGATGCATCCAAGAGCTTCCCAAGTGCTAGGCGCTAGGCTTGTGCATTCTGCAGATTGTTTCAGGTCACGTGCTTTGGCAAGGGCCGAAGCTGACCGACAGCGCCGGCTGCTACGGGAGAAGGTGGAATGATTGGCAGGGAAGTGGATGGAGTGTATGGATGATGGCATGGGTTGAAGGACCGTAGACTACTGCTAGACAGAGGTGTTTGAGTTCCAAGAGACCAGTCGAAACGTCGTTTTATGTCACGGGGAAGGAACCAAAGGTTTGAGAGTTTGCATGGAAGACTGGATGTTGCTAGTAGCGCCCTTGTTACTGGAGGGGCCATTCGTGTTCTCGGGGGCACGGCCCGGGCACGTGTCGACGCATATGAGTGTTGCAAGACGAGGCTGCAGCTCCTGAGCCTGAAAAGTTTGAGACGCCCGAGTCCAGCCCACCTGGCACGCCCAAGGCCAATTGTTGCTGAAAAATCGAAGAAATGGAGAGTTAGATTGTAGTCATTAGGTTGGAGGCCATCGCTAGTAGGTTGAAGCATGGCTAGTAGGACTGAGGCCACAAAGTAGGATTGAGCAAGAGAGAATTCAACCATGGCAGGAAGAATCTGTGGAAGATCCTCAGGAAGAGTTCCAAGAGATGGAGGAGACTCCTGAAGAGATTCAAAAGCCCGACGAGGTGTCGGTGCAAGATGAGATGCCCCAAGAGGATCTGAACGAAGAGGATGATGAGCCAGAGCAACAGGAGGAAGAAGGCTGGTCTGGTCTGCAAAGCAAGACCGTACATAGGGCATTACTAGTAGCTCGTGGCATTACTATGTAAGTAACAAAGGGCATCGCTACTAGGAGCAAGAATTTGAGGAAGCCTTACAGTCAAACAGCAGGAGTTTGTTGCTCGCTGTGAGTGCTTTGTGTTCAGCGACGCCACCCATGTCGTACACCAAATCAGGTGACGCCGGATCGCCTATCTCCAAAGAGGAGGCAGAGGCGGAAGAGGCGGAAGAGGCAGAAGAGGTGGAAGAGGCGGCAGACGAAGATGAAGATGATGAGGTTGCCTCCTGAGCAGTTCTCGCAAAGATGATCAAGACTATGGATTTGGCACCAAGGAGCTACCAATGACAAAAGGAAGAATTAGCCAGGAGGTGTGGGAGAAAATGAACTGGAACCAGTGGATATCTTTCTGCCAGATGCTGGTCTCTAGTCTATGCTGCAGTCTGACTATGTCACTATCTTGCATTGTTTTCCCACCATCCCTGCGGTCTGTTTGTCTCCATCTTCCTTAATTGTGACTTGTCACTGTTACACATTCCCTCCAGCCGTCCATTCACCACTCTCAGGCGATGGGACGGCTCAACCCCGTTGCAGATACAGGGCTTGCGTTGGGCATTGGCATGGTCTATCACTCAGCAGTTGGCCCTGGGCGCATGAGTGATTTGCATCTTTCCTTTGTCAGGTTGCCGTGCAGGGAGAGGAGCAAGAGGCTCCCGAGTTTCCGTTACAAACCTGGCAAAAAGAGGATTTGTGCCTCAAGATCAACATTACAGTAAGTTGAAGATTGCAGTCTTTGCTGTAATTATATATAATGGTATCTTGATGTTCAAAGTCAAATTAACATCTCAAGTTCTATTCTGTTTGAAGCTCAACGAAATCAAAGTCTGGAGATCCAGGTCGACTCTGACGACCTCCTGGACTTTGAGACTGTGTGCTGCTCAAGACATGATGACGAAAGCCTCAGAGAAAAGTCCATCAAGACTTTGACGAACTTGCCAAATAAGTGGATGAGATATGATGAGACGAGGTCAAGAACAAGACTGAGCGCAAGGCAGAGAAGCAAACCCAGCGCCGGGTGAAGGAGGCCACGGATTCGGCGGTTCTTCATGGGCACTCCGATCGAAATCGATACCTATCAGCGCTATGGAAGCAGCAGGTGGGTCAGCACATGATTTGTGAATAAGTTGTGTTCTCCATAGTCCAGAGATGTTCAGATTGCCCCCAAGCTTGGTTGAGCATGTCTTGAAGAGGTTGTGGGTAGATATAAATATAGGCTTCTGTAAGGTAAAATCACAGGTCACTTCATGGCCAGCTGTTCTGAACGTCGGCCCTAATCGCTAGCTTTCTCCAGTCTCAATGATGCGACCTGTGCATGGGCGTAGACTGCAACTTGCAGTAGTGCACAATGTATCAGGGATGGTCCAAGAGGGTTTACCTTCATGCCAGCCATAAAGGAAACATCCTCCACTGCGTGGTCATGCAAGTTGCGTGAAGAATTTACGCCTTTGCGTGTCAAGCTTCAGCTCTTTTTTGAGTAGTCCAGGAGCATGCCTCGCGAGCAGCTATTCGCAAAGAGGCACAAAGACAGCGTGAGCTACGTGCCAAGGATGGGATTTCTGGCAAAGTTTTAATTGGCACGACTTCACCACTTGCAAGTTGCTGCCAGGAGCAGCGTGAGTCCAAGGAGCAGGTTGGCGCGTTTTTTGCAGTTGATCGATTTTTAATGAACCCACAAAGCTGCCATTCTTGGGAATGACTCCATCCTTTCGGCCTTTTCAAGGCCGAGGCCGCAGCCGCAGCGAGCGAGGCTGCCAAGCCCAAGGCGAGTGCAATTGTAGCAGACTGTAAGTCTTTGGCATGTTTGAAGGCTTCCCTGTTTGACTGATGTGAATAATGTGTCACAAATCTGTGCACACCTCGAGTTGGGTGTTGAGTAAGCTCTTTTGAGCTGTTAAAGCTTTGCTGTCAGGCAGCTGCACCCAAGCACGAGATGATCAAGCTGTCAGATTTGAGGCAGCTAGGCTGTGAGATTTAAGAGAATATATAGCCCCCCCACTCACAGATTTAGTCTTCGCATGTCTGTTTATCCAGAAGATTGCCCCGTCCACCCTAAAACGACAAGGGATAAAACAGAACAAAGCTCTGCACATGGATGATCCTTCATGTGTGTCTCATCTCAGGTTCGTCTCCCCCATAAAGACAACCAGGAGTGTTTGTATGGCAGAATCGTTCTTTATGCATAGAAACTGATGTTTGTACCAGGCACGGAAACGAGAACCCAATGAGAAATAACATTGCATTAAACAGAACGATACCGCAGCGAGCCTAAGGCACCTTCCAGTACACTGTTGCACAATGGCACACACACACATATATATATATATATATATATACCAGCTGTGCTAGTCTGGAATGAACTGCGCGCCATTCTTGCAAGTTCCACACAGCACAAATCCGTGCATTGCACGCGAATGTGCACGACAGATGTTGCAGCTCGTCAAACCATGGTTCACCGATAAGGAGGAAACACATGATGAGGCCAAAAGCGGTGTAGGGACTGGTAGAGGTTCTTGTTTGACAATCTCGCTTGGAGAAGTGAGACGAGTGCAAGCATTCTCGCCACGAGTAGCAATTGCGGTTTTATATGTTTAAGAGACCAGGGCATGAGGTCTTGTGCATAAGAAGCCTCCCTGCAAGAAGTTCTAAAAGCCAAGCTGCGACTGGTTCGAGGGTGAAGGTTTGTCGGAACGTATCTAGGCGAAGCCAAAGGGAAGAAGAAACTTTGGATGATGTCAGCGTAACGCCGGCATGGTTTAAAGTGGACTGGTTAAGATTTGCCAGCGACGTGCCGAAGCGACGTGCCGAAGAAGCGACTGGACTTTGGAGACCCAAACCGCCACCCACTTCTGCCCAAGCCGTCCCAGGCTGTACAGGGTCGAGTTAAGATAAAGAGGCAGTTTATAGAGATTTGCTGAGCCTGTTTGAACACCTGGCTTAAGAACATGTCATTGTCTTGGGCTTGGAGTCAAGGTGCATGGTATGTGGTGGACTATGCCAAAACAGGCCGGTCGACATGCAAGGAGTTCCGATGCAAGAAGGCCATTGCAGAAGGAGAGCTGCGCATCGGGATCGAAGCTCCAGAGGATGATCATCGAGGAAGCCAGTTAGGTTGGTACCATCCACCTTGTTTGTGGAAGACCTTCTCGTTTCAGAAAAATGCCAACAAGAAGATTGAATCTACGGAGGACATCAAGAATTTCCATCACCTTCGGAACGAAGATAGAGAGTTGATCGAATCGCTACTGGAAGGAAAGACCGTTGAGAGTCCCAAGGGAGCACCTTCGAGTTCCTTGCGGAAAAAGATCATCACCAAAGTTGAAGGCAACACGATGACTCTCACGGGTCCAACCTTCCAATTCAAAGAGGACTTGAAGAAGCTTGGAGCCAAATTCAATGGTGAATTGAAGGCCTGGATCATCACTAAGAAGGACAATGATACCTTTGAACACGTGGAGAAGTTCCTTGCTGGGGATGATGACGAATCTGTTGTCAAGAGGCCTGCGAAACGGCAACGGACATAGGCCGCGCGACAGAGCGCTTGGTGCTGGTGATGCAAGAGTCGAGGGGAACGCAGAGACCCAGGTGCAGCTCCAAAATGGCACGCGAACGGGTGAAGATTCTGACCAATCTTTCGCCAACGGGACTTTCATCGATCCAGATTGACACAGATCGACTCAGATTCAGACGGACTACATCTCAGCAGGGTACGCGGCACGAGTCTATCGGCAACAAAAGCTGCGCTTGGTGGATTGTTGCTGATTGTTAGTTGGCAAGAAGGTAGAAATACTCGTACCAAGAAGCTACTAGGTGGAGGCCATCGCTATTAGGTTGGAGGCCATCGCTACTAGTAACAAGAACTCTTGCGTGTGGGCCTAAATTCTAAAACTCTGGTCATTCCAATGTCCAGTTTTTTCAATGGCAGGCTCCGATCTATGAGGTGCGCCGGAGTTGTATTTGCACTTGAGCTGCACCCACGGGCTGACAAATTATATAATTGTACATGAGTATATATAATACTATATACACACATCCATGACGCACCTGCCATCAGTCAGAAACTGTTGAAATCTGGAGCATGAGTGAGAGGTGCAGACAAACATGATCTACGAGGTCGGCCAGAAGCAGATCAACGACCCTTGGGGGTATGACACGGACAGAAAGGCTGTTTTGGATACTTCGTGATTCAGTGAGTCCCTGACCTGCAGGTCCAGGCACCACCATGCTATGAGGCCTGTATTGCAGACATACTCTAGCTATCTTTGGCTTGGTCAGGAATCTGAAGGCTGTGAGCTACTGGTCAAGAAGATTCCAGCGGAAGCAATCTTGTATATGAATACCCAGGGATACCTATGAATACCAGTGGGTCGCGTCGCCGCTACCGCTACCTAAGCCAGGCCCCATACCCAACTGGGCCTCCACCGGCGTACAAGCCGCCAGATGTGAGCCGATCTCTCAGTCTGAGGGCCATTGACATCTCACACATCCCTCAGCACGTTCCTCTCAACGCAGGACACTTGGTGGTCGCCATTTTGAAAGCGGATACCAAGCCCGCGCAAAAGCCCATCGTGCATACAGGCGACATGGTTGCTTTTTGCAGCACTGGCACTTTTTGTTTCAACAACAGAGAAAAACAAGGTGCACAAAAGCACAGGGGGCCTGAGTCCTTTCCTTATAACAAAGCACAGGTCCGGTCACCACGTCGGTGCAAGACTACAGCACAGGCTACGAAGGCCAGACAATAGTGAGACACTTTCATTCCTGGTCTTCACGGCAATTTTGTGAAACCATTTTGTTGATTGCAATGCCATTGATGCATTGCTGCTCGTTGTTCGGTCGATAGTTCATTTCTCGGGCCCTGTGCTTGTGCAGCTTTTTCCGCTAGCAATATGACCACTAGATATCCCACACACTCCAAAGCAGCTGCCAACCAGATATAGCTTGACTTGGGATGATATCTTTTTTACACGATCCTAGACGTTTGACATGGAAGAAGGATCAAAAGGACCTTTCTTCGGATGCATCGACCTTGGAGAAGCCTTTGGCCTGAGTCATCCACCTACAAATCCAAGAAGCCTTTTGCGCCAAGCGACTTGTGCAAGAATCCAAGAGCCATGGGTAAACGCGCGTCACAAGCGCCGCTTAAACGCACGGGGCCAAAGAGTTCGGCCGTCTTTACTCACTGTAGTTTTAAGCATGCTTGCCAAAGCTTTTCCTGTTGTTCATAGCAACTGTCCGGTCTCTAATTGTGAATACACTTTGCATTTCCTTTGCAAAAGCCCTTTTCTTTTTCCTCTTTCTATCTTTGTCTCTGTCTGTCTCTCTCTCTCTCTCTCTGACCATCAGTCGATCCAGCCACGACCTGAGGTGCCCGAAATGTGGCTAAGACCAGTGGAGCTAAAAGGTGCCTTCGGCATGAAGACAATTCTCTTTGTCTTTTGTAGCTTGGAAGATGTGCACATCTCTTCAGAGGAGTGTTGTATTTCCAAGGAAAAATAGCGACTGGAAGAACGACCTATCGCTGATCAAGCGGCTCAGGTCCAGGAGAGAACGACAGCATTTTTTGAGATGCTTTTAAACATATATGTCACATTTTATTTGTCCAAAGGTATGAATCTCTACCTTGACCTTGCCTATCCAGGAGGGAGGCACCTGTAGACTCGATCGGCTGTGAGAGACTTGCAGATCCAAAAGCTTGTAAGGTGGGCTTTGTGAAGTTGCAACAGCTCAGGGGTGTGAGTGGACTTAAAGAAAGCAAAGGCCGGCAAAGGCCACAGATGAACTTTGTCGAATTAAGCGGGGGACAAGTGTAAGCTGCTCCAAGAGCAGAAGCACTTTGTGAATCTCTCCCAGAAAGCCCTCTCAACGGTCTGTCCTTTGGCTGACAAGGCGGACTTTGAATGGCAATGCCTCGGTCTGAGATGCTAAGACTTTAAGGGCGCAATTTTCACGATGATCAGGGATGAGCAACGGGTTTGCTTTCATGTAGCCTCAGAAGCCACGCAAGTGCAAACATCGTATAGACCTGCACTTTCAACGGACTGTGACATGCATATGGTGCGTGCAGCATTCTGTCCAGGTTTAGTGGCAGCCATGCTCTCCTCACAAACACGTGACCAAGCGACCGCGGAGGTGGAGCTTCTTTTTTGCCAGACGTCTCATACATCTGTCAAGACCCAGTAGGAGGTGTTGGACTGTTGAGTGAGACATGCTGACGGACACATGAGGACCCTTGACGAACAACGGATATCCAAACGACATGAGCCGACGAGTAGACCGTTTGGAACCACGAAGCGCAACGTCACATGCTTGAGGCAATGGAAGCCTTGCACCGGGCTGGACTGAAGAGCATCAGTACTGTGGCCAAAGCAAAGGAGAAGACCTTGGCAAAGCTGATCAAACCTGTCGGCTTCTTCAACATGAAGGCCCAGATCAGGTTGATCATTGTAAAGCGGAGGCGGTGGAGGCTTTTCAGATTGGTAACTTGAGATTCGTCCAGGCTAAGACCATGAGAGCCGCCGCAACGTTAGAGCCTCAGAACGAGGCAATGTGAAAGAGAGAGAGAGAGAGAGAGAGAGACAGAGAGAGACTGGCACAGACTCAGATAGCTAGCCAGGTAGGTAGATAGATAGACAGGCTGGTGAGGCGGAGGTGAGGCAGACTCTAAACAGCTTGGTAGTTAGCTTGAGTGCCCATGGCACAAGGATTTGCAAAAAGGAGCACAAGGGCCGCATTCCCAGAACTTTGGAGGAGCGTGTCGCCAAGATACCGTTTAGATTGGTCAGTCTAGGCCTAGGCGGTGTATCAAAGCACTTCGTTTCTTGAAGATCTTCATTCTTTGGTCACTTCGTTTCTTACGACACTGCCCGAACGGTGCCAAAGACGCCAGGGGCTCTTGAAGCTGCCGGGGATCGGCCCAAAGATGGCGCGCAGGGACCGGGGTAGACCGACAGGGAACACCAAAAGAAGATTGACCAACAGGGAGCACCTAGGAACAAGAAGCCACTAGGGGCTCCTAGGGACAGGGAACACCGACAGGGTAACGGAGTCGCTCCGGTGCCATTTGTGGTCTTATCGCATGCAGCTCACGGGAATTAACAATTTATGGCGTGGAATCGTCATGAATCATCGAACAGTTTCAACCTTTGATTCTAGAATCATTGTTGTTGAATCGGGTCGAGTCCTGAAAGATCCTTTCAAAGTCTTGCTGTGCAAGTTATTTGAGCTTGGCCATCATTGTCGATGGCTTGCAGCGCTTCGCAGCGGCAGGCCCATTTGATCATGCACAGTGCCTTTGATCGCCAGCAGGGTATTTGTGCACCTACTCAGCCCACCAGACGAACGTTGATCACAACAATTTCCGCTGCAACGTGAGTGGAATGACCAGACTTTGCAGGGTTTGGTAGACAATCAATGATTCAACAAAACCAGAGCGCTTCACATGTTCTTTTTTTGTGGCTTTGATTCTTCGTCAGAACCAAACATCCTCTTGATGTTCGGATTTGTCCATACTGATCATTGGCTGTTGAGCCAATGGCACCGGTGGCAAAGGCGTGGACACTCACGTGCATCGCATTGCAAACAAGCTCGGCTGGGTGGCTTCCCTAGGTCCAGCCTTCACCTGGAACAACTTGTTACTAGTAGCGATGGACTCCACCTAGTAGCGATGGCCTCCACCTACTAGCGATGGCCTCCCTTTTGTCTCGGCTTCTGTACACATTCTTGTTCCCCCTCTGTGTTTGTTTATGGGAAAGATCTGATGAAGAAAGATCTTCTTATATCATTGCATAAGGTTCGGAGCAAGACGCCGGAAGAGACACGACATCAGTTGGAGCCAACGCCTTGGCATGGACTCAAGTCCTGTTGGATTTTGGCATGATCTCAGGAGTCCTCCACATGTCAGCAAGAATGACTTGTGTGAGTAGCAGATGGCTTCTGCTCATGCTGGTATATAATTTGTTTGAACCAACGGTCTGCATCTTTTGCAACGAACCCGCATTCCTGAAATCTATGTTACAAACACGGCAAATGTAGCATTTGATGTGGTACAAGGTCACTGCTGCCTCGGAAAGAATGGGCTGATCTCAATGCCTCAAGCTTAGAAAGACCTATTCTAAATGATGTGAGGAAAGCAGTAAGGACACATTGTCGGTTCCGTTCCTACAAGGTCCTGTTAGTTGGATTGGGGCAGATGCAGCAGCAGGCGGCACCCTATGGCCACCTTTGGCCTATGATCGTTTCTTTTGATTCATTGTCTCGTGATGTGCATGTTTTCCCATGCAAGTCCAACTTGCTCTTCACATTTTTTAAGCGTTACTTTCCAAAGCGATCGGGGTCTTTGTTTTCACATGTTAGGACCAGAGGAGCTGGAAACTCCCAAACCCTAACGATCTCCGTCGCTGGCAGATAGCGTCTTCAGGCAGCCTCGCAGCTCATCTCATGCGCTGTACATATCCGCAGAAGTCCAGACGCTCTTCAGCTGCTGCATCGGTGGCTTTGCCACAGTAGATCAAGTGGGATGCTCAACTTCTGGACTCCGCGCCTGCCTAGATTTTGAGTCAGGATTGGGGTCCCTTTGCGCTTTGGGCAGAATGAGCGGCTGGACAAACTTGCTGTACGCAACAAGCAGCTACGGCGAGTAATGAAATGAGATGGCTAGAAGTTTTGTGGCTTGACGACCTAGTGTGCCGACATCAGTCAAAGACTTGCAAGCGACTTGCAATTAAATGTGCATTCTGACTTCTGAGTATGCAAGAATTCTGCGTCGCTTTTGCACTCTCATCATCAACACATACTTGTAACAGTTCTAAGCTTCCGTATGTTCGCAGCTGTTTGCTGAACATGTTCAGACTATTCACATGCAAAGGCAGAAAACCAAGTCAGCATATTGGGCGCAGTGCGCGAAACGGGATTATCTAAGGAGCAAGAACTATTAAAAATTGCACAGCAACCCGAAGACGTAGTATCAGCTTCACTGAACCACCCCCCAACTTGTGGTGTGGAACATGCACAAGAGCATGGTCTCTTCTTTGTTTTTCCGTGTCATGCTCACAAAACCTAGGCCATTCCGGGCAATGCAGCGTTTCAGGAGCTACGAGCAATGGCTCCAATGCCAAGCAGACTCCCTTGGTAGCTGACAACAAGAAAGCCAGGACATTTTTGAAGATCCGGACATGGTCACAGCCAGTCCTTGGATTCAACGGTCTCGTATTGCCAAATGGATTGCCAGGACTTCAGTGACCTGGCTGCGGATTCCACATGCTCATTAACAACGAGAGACTCGGAAGGCAGAGACAAGCTCCACATTTCGAGCGCTGCATGCGCTCGTTTACATTTGCTTTAGTTTGATGTCTTTGCTCATTGCCTTGCTTTTTGCCAGGGTTGATGGTAGAAACTTGTTCCGTCCGTACACTTTGAGACAGAGAACAGAGATACCATCAGATTGATCATCAGATCAGTATTCGTGACTTGTTAATTGGGTTTCTTTGACTCGCCGTACGCTTTGCTCAGGAATGGTGTCACAGAGTATGCTGCCTTGCTCATCCTGGTGGGTGCAATGGTGGGCTACTATGTGCCTCGATGAACTAGTCAGACTCTGTCTCGAAGACATTCGTGTATGTACTTCGTTTCGTTTTGTCTTAGGTGCTGATGACCTCCATCATCCTGTGTGTCCGTCGCATAAGGCCCGCGTGTTGGCTCAGACGCAATTTTCTTCTGAAGGTCAGTTCATTAT